GGATACCATAGTCCAGTTGGAAATCTGTGAGATGGAAAATCAAGTTTTTTCCTTGAGATTGTTTTTGTTAAAGGATAATGGCTACTTCCGTTCTTCGATGCTCTACAGATATGCTCACATGCAATCTTAACAAGAACTCTGCACGGGAGGTATACAGAGCCCATTTTATAGATGAGGAAATTGAGTTCTGAGAGGACAGGTGACTCAGCTAAGACCCCACAGTTTGTAAGGGCTACAGTTGGACTCAGACCAGACTTCAAAGTCTGGTGTCTTTCCTATACGTAACATTATGTTTCTGCAAATTGGCAGTCTAAAAGCAAAGGGTTTGTAAGCGTCACTGTCGGAGGCTGTGCGCAGTCTGCCGGCCACTCCTGTGTCCCTGGAACCTGACGCACCGTGGGGAGCCAATGCACTTGGAGAGGGAGGAGAATTGCTGGGACCCCCTGGGAAACTATGGGGCCAGAACCCCGTGGTAGAGACTCCGAATCTCCCGGGGCAGGGGGGCTATGTCAGGAATCGGAATGATTGAGTGAAGAACATATTTTTCTTTATCTCCTTCCAACTCTAATCATCTCGGGGAGCCTTTGGCGACCTATCTGGACTGACCCAAGATTTTGGAGGCAGCCTGAGAACAAGAGACAATGCCTGAGCATTGTCATAAAGAAAAAAAAAAAAACCCATTTTAAGTCTCGGCTGTGCCACGTCCTGGATGAACACACAGACTAACCCCACTGTGCCTCAGTTTCCCCCTTTACAAAATGGGGATAAAAGTAGCAGCTGTCTGGTAAGGTCATGGTAAAGCCTGGGTAGGATAACACCCACCCAGGAAAAGTCTTTCACTTTTCCAGCAGAGCTGCCCTGAAGGCAGAGGAGCGTGATGCTGCACCCCTGAGAATCTTGTGGGTAGGGAACAAAGTGCTAGGTTTCTGGGAAGATCTCAAAAATCTTCTGTTTCTTGAGAGAGAATAAAAAGATGAATGATCTGCTCAAGGGTATATAGTGTCTTAGGTGAGGAAAAGAGATTTGAATACCAGGGTGGGAGGAAAAAGCAGAAAGCTATTTTCTGAGTCTAGCCCGTCTAGCCCAGCCCACCCCACCCCACGGATCTGCTGTCTCTGCCGCCATGCGGTCCCCAGAGGATCCCTCCCATGGGGCTCAGGGGAAGCTTTACAGAGGAAGTGACCTAAAAGCTGAGGCCAAAAGCGGAGCCTTCAGGATGAGAAGAGTGGAAGTGGAAGGACAAAGGGGACTTCAGCAGGAGAAGGAGGGCACAGAGTGTGAGGGAGGGAAGAGACATGAGGCTGGGCCGAGGCCTTGGGAGGGCCATTGACTCCCCCAGGAGAGGGAGCGGAGGGAGACCCCGATGCCACAGCCCGTCCGGGTTCACTGCCCGCCGCTCTAGAGCCGAGAGAGCGGGTTACAGTGGAGAAAGGGTTTAACATCACAGGCACCATGCAAGGGTGTGGGGGGAACTTCTCAAATCCGTTCTCTAAGAATTTGGGGGCCAGGTCTTCTAAAGACAGTTCGGCAGGCCACTGGATCTGCTGATGAGTAAACTCATAGGGTCAAGAGACAGAAATTGTCTTCTTGTGCTGAGTCAGTCCCCCGGTCACAGCACCAGTTGAGCTGGTTCCTTGCTATGGACCACTGGTCTGGTTGGGTTAATCGGTCACTAGAATGCAGAGTCCGGAAGAGATCTCAAAGACCGGCCTTCAATTTGGCAAGGGTGATGGGAGCAATGAAGAAAGATAAGAATCTTTATGGCCATCAGCTGTGTGACTCCTGAGCCGTGAGCAATTATAGAAGAGCACGCTAGGGGACAATGGCTGGTTATATATATATTTTTTTTAAATATGCCTGTATGTTTGCAGAGTTCAGGCTCCTACTACATACCAATCTTATGGCCTTTTATTAATTTCATTTTTTTCCTTTTTAACAAATACTTTATTTTTAATACTTAAATATTTGAATCAAAAATAGGTAGGAATTAGAAAGAAACACTCATTTTATGGTCACTTTGCAAAATTTACTTATACAGAAAATTCCACAAATTAAATGTCAACATAGAATTGGAAGAGATGAAAGTATTTTTTTTTAATTTACTTTGTTTCAAAATATTAAGGGAATACAAATGTTTTTGTTACATGGACTTTTGTAATGCTTGAGTCAAAGCTATAAATGTGCCCATCACCCAAATAGCATTCATTACACCCATTAGGTAGGTGTTTGTCCCTCCCCTCCCTCTCCTCCCCACCCCCCTGCTTGATTTCCAATGACTTTTATTTCCCTCTATGTACTCGTGTGCCCATTCAGTTCCAATTTATTAGAGAGTAATGTGGTGTTTGTTTTTCCATCTTTGAGACACTTCACTTAGGATAAGAGTCTCCAGTTGCTTCTCCAAATTGATGCAAAAGACATCAACTCATCCTTTTTATGGCTGAGTAGTACTCCATGGTATACATATACCACATTTTGTTAATCCTCTTATGAATTGACGGGCACTCGGGTTGATTCCACATCTTTGCAATTGTGAATTGTGCTGCTATAAACATTCAAGTGCAGGTGTCTTTTTGACAAAATGAATTATTTCCCTCTGGGCAGATACCCAGTAGTGGGATTGCTGGATCAACCCAGAGTTCTGCAGGGGCAAAGGCAGACCCCTCACAGCTCAAGCTGCCTGCAACTTTCGCTTGTCTCCTTAAAAGCGGTGCCCTGGGGCTTGCTTTTATTCTGCTGTCTTCCCCCACCCCCAGCCGTGTGAATTATATTGGGACACCCAGCTTAATCTCTGCCATGGTGGGTGGTGCTTGCAAGAATGGGCCATGCCCAGTCTGAGTAAGTACTCGTTGTGCTCCCAGTCAGTAGGTGGCACTCCCAGGAGAGGTGGGCCGAGGAGCCAGGCTGCCTGGGGCTAGGTCGGGGAGCCTGCCTGCAGGCTCTGCAGTGGTTTGCCCTAGAACTGACTCAGGATCACAGATCAGCTCCCAAGCTGCTGAGGAGGACTGCTGGAAAGGTGTTGAAAGTGCCTCCCCAAACCGAAAAGTCTGCTTCGGGGAAGGGGCTGTCTGGGTTTCATAGACTAGCTGTCGGGAGTGAGTTTCACTCTTCTCCCTCCTCCCCTGCCTGCTGAGTCTCTTGCCAGCGTTTGGCTGCAAACGGGCAACCAAATTCACCGAGGTCGCCAGCAGTGGTGCCACAGGTTAGGAACTTCTCTAAGGACCGCCCGAGTTTGAAGGCACAGATCTCGTGTGGGCCGAGGGTGCTCCACCAGATCGCTGCGGGCTGACCCATGCTGTGCTCCCTGCCCACGTGGGCTCCCTCGACCCCCTGTGTTTTGTTCTCAAATCTCCCCTCTGTGTCCCCAAGCAACCCGACTGAGTCCTGGGGGTACAGGATCTGGCCAGCATGCCTGTCCCACCAGCGGGCATCTTTGGGGAGTGCTGGTGGGCAGGGAACTCCCAGACTGAGCACCCCAAGGTCCACTGCAGGTCCTCAGGAAGAAAGGCGTGGGCCCCACTCTCTGTGGAGGCCTCAGACTCCAACACCGGGAGTCTCAGCTCAATGGTCCCTCTCTGTCGCAGGGGGCGAGGGAGGGGCGGGGCAGGAAGAGAGCCTGAGTGGAAGACAGCCAGCACTCCAGCCCTTCTGGCCCCTCTCCCTGGCAGGAAGCCCGCACAAAATGTCCAAGCTCTGGGATCACCCAAACTCTCCAGGGCCCGCCACAGTCTGGGCAGGAGTTGGGAACTGTCTGTGTGGAACAGGTGACATGAAGGGCTGGAGCTCCCTGGGGTGGGCACCATGGGCAGAGAAGCAGTATGGCGTCCGCCGCCTCAGCTCTGGACTGTGGCTACAGGGAGTGACCCCGAAGGGGCCGGAAGCCCAGTGATGCTTTATTTTCAAGAAGACCCCAGTTTGGTGGTGGAAAAGCTCCCAAGCAGCTTGGAGCCCACTGACTACCAGACGTGCGAGGGAAGGAGAAACAAACACCCGCCTACCCTCTCCACCGGGCTCTGAGCTTCTCTAGGGTTGGTTTCCGCTGATAACCTTTTTCTTTCCCCTGTTCTGTTTCACAACTTCGTCCAGTGGCATCTCTGGCAGATGCTGGTACCTTTCACCCCCCACTACCCGAGGGCTGTGCCCCTTCCCTCCTCTCCCTTCTCTGAAACGCTCCTTCCCTCTGGGGCCATCTGGCAGCTGCTGTCTCAACCAGCCATCCTCCCCTCCCTCTCCCCTTTCTATCAATTTTATAAAGGGCAGTTCACAGAGAGAGGCTGCTTTGCAAAATCCAACATCCCCCCTGCCCCCCGTCTTTTCATTTGTTAGAGACAACACTTCTTAGAGTTACAGAGAGAATTGAACTAGATCAATTTTCCCCAAAGTGGGATTTTGCAAGCTGAATTTAAGCCAGCAGTTTTCATATTCATGGTTATTTTGATGTGCATTACAAGAAAACTAACAGCATTCCAGATGTGTCTTTTCATGAATATTATATTGTGGTGAAGATGTTATCTTTTATTGTTTTTAATTAAAAAAGAATTTTTTTTTTTGAGACTGTCTCACTATGCCACCCAGGCTGGAGTGCAGTGGTGCAATCACAGGCAGAGTATGGTTTGGGGAGATCACTCTCTTAAAATAATGTTTCATTAAAATAGTTGTATCTACTTACTAAGAAAATTTGGAAAATACAGAAATGTAGATTGGAAAAGAAAAAAACCCCAACTTTCCATTATTTTCTCTCCCTCTTCAATCTTCAGGAAAACATTACTATTAACTGCAGTTTTTCCTTTACTTTTCAGAGTTGTACTTCTGCAGTATGCATCTTTTTCTATGCTAATTTTTAAAATTAATAGAGCTTACATTTTGCTCAAGACATGATAAACTGTCCTTAAATATTTCTAAAGGCCATATCATATGTTGGGTTAATCTACCATAATTAGAATATCATTCTGTTATTATTATAACTAGTCATAATTAGCTAATTATGATTAATTATTTCCCTGTTTTTTTTTTTTTTGGTGTGTGTGTGTTTCAGTTTTAAACAATGCTGCAATAAACATCTTCGTGCACCAAACATTTTCTGCATGTTGATTTCTTTCTTTCATAGTGATTCCCAAAGATAGAATTTCTGAGCTAAAAGGTATTATGCATTTTATGCTCTTGCATACTATTTCCAAATGGTTTCATCCGAAAGGTCAAGCCTTCACAGTGCCGCTGGCGGGAATGAGACCACAAGTGTCCCAAGGCTATGATAACCAGTCCTTTGGCAGGAGGCTGAAAGCTCTTAGTAAGTAAGACCAGGGTAGGGATGCTGGGATGCCTCCAGGAAGAGAGGAAGTCAAGCCACCAAGCATTTGTTACGCCGGACAGTGGCAATGGGCTCTGGGTCAGTGACGTCCTTTTGCTCTGTTCTGGGGTCATCCCGTGATTCTGGAGGTGCCCGTTTGGAAGCTGAGCACCTTCAACGTCTACATGGCTGCAGGCATGGTGCTCCAAGTGGCAGCTGGCCAGTGATCCCACCAGCTCCTCTCGGAACCTGTGGAGGTCGTTGGGGCCTTTCTGGGGTTGCAGCTCATTTCCCCCACTCTTGGTTTCTCAATATTTTCCTTTGGATTTTTCCAGAAGATGTCTTCGGCAGTTCCGAAACAAAGGCTACCTAGTGACCAGACAAAAACAACGAAATACTTAGGAATCATCACTTCCCAAGAATACTTTTGTCTTGGAAGAGTGCTAACCTTCTGCCACTCGTTGGAAAGCTCCAGTGGTTCAGGGTTTAGCCCGGCAGGCAATGAGCACGACAGCCAGAGCCCGGAGCACATGATCTTTTGGATGGCATTCCAGCCCCACTCCCTGTGCCTGGTTTACAGGTCACTTCTTAGAGTAAGAACTGAATGTACTTTGGGAAGGACCCAGTGAAGAAATAGAGAGAAAACGCTGAAGCAGCGGCCAGGGTCGAATGCATTTTCCTATCCCCAGCGCCTGGCACGGGGCCTGGCCCTGCGTGCCAGGCAGTGTGAGCCCATCTGACCTCCCAGCTCCCTGTGTTCTAGAAACCCCGTTCGTTTACCTTCCTGGGGTACTTGTACGGAGCAGTCACCCTCTTCACGTGGTTCTGGAGCTCCAGGGTTAGGGCCTCTGGGTCACGAGATGAGTAGGCTGGAGAAAGGACTATAAATGCCTTCACTACCTACAGGGAAAAATATATATATACCAGAAAGGATCAAGACTTGCCTAACAATTCTTTCCTCCTTAAGCTGGCCTTAGCACCCCGTCACGGAAGTTCTACCCGTTTCTTGGGCGCAGCCAGTAAAACGGACAGCACGGAGTTCTCTGTTGCCTGCCTTTCCAGGATCAGCCGCTGGGCACGTTGGCTTTTGCGGGAAGATTTCAGACCCTTGCCTGTTCCCCAAACCACTCCCCATACATTGACTGATACCACTAGGAGTGAAAAATGCAAATACTTTGGAGAAAAGAGCTTCACAAACTCCTATGGCCACTGACTTCCAGCTTGTCCTAAGTAGGAAGGTAGCTAGGCGCGCATTCGAGCAGGCGGGATCGAGGAAAACCCAGCCACTTCCAAGGGGAGCTGGGTATTTGGGAGACTGCAGGCAAACGCTGAGCTGCTCAGCTTCTGTTCCAGGCATCTGGGGGAACTTCCTGTACCTTGGCTCTCTCTGCCCACATCTTTCCTACAGGCTGCCTCCCGGCTGGGAGGAGGAAGAGTCCAACACTCCAACACAACAGAACATGGTCTCTAATAGCAGTGGAAGGCCACTGGGTTGCTTATTCAGACAAGCACTAAATTCTGCCAGCAATATTCTGTTAAGGGGTAGTTCACTGTCCTTGCATACTTTCCAAAACGCAGGAAGGTCATTATCATTTCATGTTCACACAGATCTGGCTCTTAGGAAGAGCTTTCTCTTACTGCCATAACTACTAAACATTTTATTGAGCACTTCCTATGTGCCTGGCTCTGTTCTCAGCACTCTGCATGGATTAACTTCGAGCACACGGCCGGCCCTTTGTCACTGCCTCACTTACTTCACAGCACGCAAAGCTGGGCCCACTTTTCAAGGTGTGGTTTCTCCGGCACAGAAATGGGACTCGCGCCTCCCTCATTCAGTATCAGTGGCCTCAAGCTTCAGTGGGAAAATCAGTCGGCAAGGGGCTGCTGGCTAAAAGGCAGGTTCCCCGGCAACGGGGCTGCATCGCCAGTTACTGTGGTTCCATAGGTCTGACTTGAGATCTGCAATCTGGGTTTTTTTTTTTCAACAAGAATCCCAGACGATGCAGCTATGAACAGCGCAGGGACCAGATTTGGAGAATGATGCCTCTGGCCCGGATGCTTCTGAGGATGCAGGCTGATGCTGCACTAATTTTCAAAAAGTGTGTCGTGTTTCAGGATTATGTTGGATTTAGAGCCAGTGCAAAGTCTGTGCCTCTATGCCCGGACATATGGGTATAGGGGTGCCTCTATGCCTATCTTTCCTGTTCTGTGTATTCCTCTGGGGCCCACAGGAAGGAATTTGCATTTCCCCCGTGGAAGCCTAGCTTGTTACATTCGGCCCATCTTTCTGGTCTATCGTGGTCATTTTGGATACATATTCTGCCACCCCTCCAGTTGCTGATCCCTCCCAGGTGAGAGCCGTCAAGCGACCTTGTCTCGTGTGCTCTCTCTGTCCTCATCTGCAAACAGAAAATGAACTTATTGGGCAGGGCGGACGCCAGAGCCCGCACCCACCACCAAGATCTGCCGTCCCACAGGCAGCCTCTCTGGGACCCAGTCCTGAGCCCACTTAACACCAAAGTGTTGGTGTTTTCCCACTCTGCCCTCCAGAGAGTATCGGGTCTCCAAAGACATGACGGCGATGCTTAATCAGGAGGAATGTGTGTCTGACAGTGGCTTTCGGCTTTGCGGTACCTGGATGGAGGTGAGATGGGGGACTCTGGGCCTTCCTGCTCGCTCTGTTGGGCGCTAATAGGCACAGAAGCAGGGGGCCGTGTTCTTGGCGGGGCTGGTTACCTCCCCCCTGATGGGGTCCGGGCTGCTAACCACAGCAGACTCAAGGACGGCTGGGTGCTCGGCAAGGGCGTTCTCCACCTCGGCAGGCCCGATCCGGTAGCTGGGAGGGAAAAACAAATTCTTCCAAGTGACCCTTCCCCCTGCCCCCTCCCCCAACCTTCAAGAGAGAGGGGGAAAGAGCAGACAGCTCGACCTTGAAGAATTGATCACATCGTCATTTCGTCCCATGAACCAAAGGTAGCCGTCCTCGTCCATGCGGGCTCGATCCCCTGTGATGTAGAAGTCCCCCCGTTCTGAGCTGGCCGTCTTCTCAGGATTGCCCTGAAAGATAAAGAAGGCTCGTGAAGGACTGTGTGGGAACGGCCACTCAGTCCAGCGACTGCCCAAGCAGCTCCACGCAGGAGGCTGGACACCCTTCAACAGCATGCTCGCTGGCCCCCAAAGCCCAAGCCCGCCAGGATTCCCCAACGGACAGGGAGCTGTAGCCCTGCGAAGTAGGTTCTCCCTCTTTAATCGGAAAAGAGTTCCCAGGAAATGATGAGGGAGGGCAACCATGTACCCCATCCTCAGGAGGGGCCCTAGAAGGCAGAGTTGAAGGCAGGAGGGCAGGCACAGGGCCACTGGCCCTGTTTCTTAGGACAAAAGAACATCACACTGATACCCTTTGTGATCAGCAATCACTGGAGGTAGAAAGTGAAGGGTTGGTCAAAGAGCCCGCTGGTAGGGGGTAAGGGTAGAGGAAAGAGAAAAGAAAATCAAACTTTGATTCTCAAAGTTTTAAAGAAAAAGCGATAAAAGAAAAAAATTACTAATACATGCAACAACGAAAGCATTTTTTTTTCTGAATAAAAGAAGCCAGACACACAAAAATGAATATTTTATGATTTCATTTATAGGAGCTTCTCTTCTTAAAAGGCAAAACTTTTATATAGTGACAACAAATGATTTATTGATCCCCCTGGGGTCTGGAGTAAGGAGGATTGACTGTGAGGGGGACAAGTGAGCCTTCAGGGGTGATAAAATTGCTCCATGTCTCGACCGTGTAATATTATATTAAATAGTTGTATAATATTTAAATAAATACTAAATAGTTGCATAATATTCCCATGTGGCTATAATATTATGTATATCAGCAAATTTCTGTTGTAGAAATTTGGGTTCTTTTTTTCTTTTCTTTTTTTTTCCCTTTCTTCTTTTTCTCCTTTTTTTTTTTTTTGTTCACAATGCTGTGAGATAATTTGCATAACTAATTTCCTGGTATTAGAAAGTTAGATATTCTTCTGTTATAAACAATGCTATAATGAACACCTGTGCACCTGACAGTTTGCTTCCCTGGGAATGTAAGTGTATTCCTTACCTTGGATATAAAATTGACATGGGCATATTAATTTAATTGACATGTGCAATTTCAGCTATTTGGAAACAGCCAACATGCATTGGAAATGTTCATGCTCACTGTGGGGGGAATGAGGTCGACTTGTCAGTCCTGCTGGCCCCCCGTGGTTCACAGAGCAATTCTGGTCTGACCTTCTCTATCAATTTTCACATGTGCCATGATCCTTATGAGAGATTTAATATTTTTTTCTTAGTGAAAAAATGACCTGGAAAGAAAACTAGCTGACGGTACTAGCGATTACTACAAAGAAAGTAATTGAAGAAAGTGAAGTTTCTTGTCTAGCAGATAACTTTACAAATTACTTTAGTACTTTCTCAATGGAATGATCTCAGACCCTGAGAGGGTATGTATGTGAGCTCTGTGAGTGCCAGGGTCTTGCTGTATACCTAGATGCGTGGAGCAGGCACTCAGTAAATAATGAATGAGTACACTTTGGAGGAAGGTCAAAGATGTACTATCGCTTATAAAAATGACTGGAAGGAAAGACGTTGAAATTTTCACACTGTCTTGGCTTGGTGTGATTACTATGTTGTTGGAGTTTTGGGTAGGTAAGTTTCTGTGATTTAAAATAAAATACAGGAAAGGATTATTTTTCTTGTCACAGAAAAAAAAAAAAGCACTAAAATACATCATTCCAAAAACAAATGGACTGCATTTTTTTTCCTGCTTCTTCCAATTCTGTAGGTGATTGACAGCTTAGTATATGCACGAGATGGAAATTCTCCAAAGCAGTGATGCCCAATCTTGGCTGCACACTAGTGTCACCTGGGGAGCTGACCCACACGGTCAGAAATTTTGATTTTAATTAGGCTGAGGTGGGGGTCGGCCGCCAGTAATAGTTGAGGCTTCCCAGGTGTTTCTAATGCACAGCCAGGGTTGAGAGTTTTACAGAGAAAAGTTTAGAGAAAAGAAAGCCCATCATAAACACTAGCCAAGGTGGGTATAGAGGAGCAGTAAACACTGGATTATCTCAGAAACTAGAACTGAAACCCCAGGACATAAGCCTTGCTAGAAAACCATAAAAAGAATCCTGAAAACTCAGCTCTGAGACAATATTGCAGCTTGACCTTTGATAAATCCCTTCCTTCCCTGGACCTCAATTTTCTTATCATTCAAATGACGAGGCTGCCCCATGCCATAAGCCTGTGCTCTCACATACACCCACGTTTAAATCCCGTGTCCTGCGTGTACTAGTTGCGTGACATTGGCTGCATCACTTTCGCCTTTGCAATATCTTCCTTATCAATAATAGCACCAACCTACCTCCTGCAGTTATTGCAAGCGTTAAACAAATGGGTATTTACGGAGTGTGTGCACAGTGCTTGGTACACGGTAATCGCTGTGAGAGTGTCTGTCCCCTGCATCTTACCAAATAGCCATTGAAGAAACAGAAGGGGCGGGTGGGTCTGATGCGGACAGCAATATTCCCCTCCTCTCCAGCAGGCAGGACGCTGCCCTCATCATCCACAATCTGGTGGGGAGACCACAGGCGGGCGAGTGCCTGAGCATCGGCACAGCCAGGCTGCCCACCAGCCACGCCTGTGCCAGCCGGGCGCCGCGGTCTCTTTGCCCCGCTTCGAAGCAACCTTCACCAGCAGCTGGGAGAGGCCGTCTACCTGCACGTCGTAGGGTGGGGACGCTTTCCCCATGGATCCAGACTTGATTTTCATGCCTTTTGTATTGCCACAGATTACAACCTGGAGAGAAACCGGCATCAGTTAAGAAGGAACCTTTTCCCTTCGCTTCTTTCCTGGGCCATGCCTTTCTCTCTCTGCCTTCTAACTCCTCCCCCCTTCTTTCTTCTCCTCCCTCAACTTTCTTTCCCTCCCTTCTCTCTTCCTTTCTCTCCTTCTCCCTCCCTTCTTTCTTTTCCTTTTCCTCTTCTTTTACTCTTTCTCTCCCTTATTTTCTCTTTTTTCCTTACTCCCTCCCTCCTTCCTTATCTTCTCCTTCCTTCCCTTTTTGTTTCCTTCTTCTCTTCCCTCCCTCTTGCCTTTCTTTCTTCTCATCCTTATACAATCAACAAACACATATGGAGCACTCTAACGGGCACTGACACATGAAGAACTCAACGTGAGACAAAAGACTCAGTGGATCTCCACAGCTCTGCCCAGGTGACCGTGGAGGACACCCCGTAGGGTCCTGGGCTCCGAGTAGACACAGGTGTGGGCTGTCCTGCTGGAGACAAACGCCACCCTTGGCCATGAGAGTTGGTTCCTTGGTCATGGCGTCATTTTGCAATGACTTTAAATTACCAAAAGGGAAGGAAAGCTGGTGGGGCTTTGTCATCGCCTTCTCCCCATGGCTGTCAGGGAGACGACAGCCATAAAGGCAGGAGGGACTACAGAGGGACCCAGGGCAGGGGCCCGCCGGCCAGCGCGCACTGTTTCAGACTGGCCGTAGCCTTCATGCAGCTCCAGGCCCGTCTGGCGCTTCCACTTCTCCCTGGCGTCGGGGTTCAGGGCCTCCCCTCCGGTGATACAGTGCCTCAGGCTCTGGAACCGGTACCTGTCTCAGGCGGGAACACAAGGGCATCTATGTCGGGATCCCTGCCCGCTCCTGCAGCACTCCTGCCCAGATCACTCAAGCCCCAAGCAGAGGAGCTGTACCTGGTCAGATCCTCCTGCACCAGCAGCCGATACATGGTTGGGACGCAGCAGAAGGTGGTTATCGGGAATGTGGAGAGAGTCTAAAGGAAAACAAAGAGTGGGAGATCTTCTCGGAGTCGCTGTGATGGGACTTCCTGGAGATGGGACGGGTGAACTGGGTCTTTATAGTCTCGTGACTAAAACAGAGATGTTGACAACGGTATGGGGTCCAGCCTCCAAGATATCCCCTGATGACCCCCGCTTCCTAGCATTTGTACCACGGAGTCCCCTCTCACTTTGTGCCAAGATGGCTCTGTGTAGCGGATTGCCAAGGTGATGGACATCCTTTTCCAGATTAAGTTATGCAAAGGCTGTGGCTTCTGTCCTCAATGAGCTTGTTCTCCCTCCCTGCCTTGGACCACTCGCTCTGGGGGAAGCAAACCACCTTGTTTTGAGTACGTTCAAGCCATCCTAGGGACGAGGGCACACGTGAGGAACCGAAGCCACTAGCCAACAGCCAGTGACAAACTGAAGTCTGCTGAAAGCCACAAGTGACTTTGGAAGCAGATTTTCCAGCCTCAGTCAAACCTTGGGATTATTGAACCACTAGCTGATATCTTTTATTATTATTATTGTTGTGGTGGTAAAATACACACAACATAAAATTTACCCATTTTAACCATTCTAAGGTGTACAGTCCAGTGGCATAAAGTCTCTCCACACTGTTGTGCAACTATCACCACCCTTCACCTCCAAAACTATTTTTATCTTCTCAAACATAAACTCTGTACCAATTACCCAATAACACCCCAACACTTTCTACCCCCATTCCTGGTGACCACGGTTGCACTGCCTGTCCCTATGAATCTGACTACTATGGGTACCCATGTCAATGGAATCATATAGTATTTTTCCTTCTAAGATGGGCTTATTTCACTTAGCATAGTGTCCTCAGAGTCCATCCCTGTCGTATCATGGGTGACAAGATTTCCTTCCTTTTTGAGGCTGGGTGATATTCCATTGTATGTATACACCACAGTTTCTTTGCCCATAGATCTGTTGATGGACACTTGTGTTGCTTCTGCCTTTTAGCCACTGTAGTTAATGCTGCTATGAGCCTGGGGGTACCTAGCTGACACTTTGATCACAACCCCATGAGAGATCCTGCCCCAGAACCACCTAGGTAAGGCATTTCCAGATTCCCGACCATGAGAAACTGTGAGATAATAAATGTTCGTGTTTTAAGGTGCTAAGTTTTGGGGGTAAATGACTACATAGCAATAGATAATAAAAATGCTATGTCAGGGCTTGGGGCAATGGAGGGAGAAGATACACAGATACTGGCTGATTAAGCCCTACATAAATAATGATGACAATCAGCTTGATGATGATGATGATGATGATGATAGTGTTAAGAACCTACTATATGACAGCACCTGTGCCTTGTATCATTTCATTCTCACAAGTACATAGAACTACATTATCCCTTTATTTCTTAAAGACAAGGCTGAAACTGTGGCTCAGAGAAGTCAGGAAATTTTCCCAAGGCCACACAGCTATCAACTGGAAGACGCAGGGTGAGAGCCTAGGTCTGACTGGTGGCACAGCCTGTCACTGAGTGATACAGCTTCCCTCAGTGCAAAGGAATGGCGGTCAGGATGTGGAGGGCAGAAGAAAGGTGCCCTGTGTCTTCACTGGGGACACAAAATCTCCCCCCTCCCCATGAGAAGATCCTGTGAGGCTGAGCAGGAGTCCATAGGATTCTAGAGCTGGGCGAACTTCTCATGTTAAGCACCATGGACAGTGGCACCTGGAGTTGAGGCGTAGACTGATCTTGTCCAGGGTTTTGACAAATAACTAGGGCGTTGACAGGAGCATTGGGAAGACAGCGGTGGAGACAGGCACCCCATGCAGAAGAGACAGGACATGCCAAGGTTTGGAGCTATGAGATGGTCTTGTGTCTAGGGATCTAGCTAGAACACAGGCAATGACTGAAGGTGGCCAGGCGGGCAGGAACCAGATTATGGAAGGTGCCGGGAGTCTTTTTGGTTAATACCAGCACCAAAGACGCCTTAAGGTCACTTATTCATGCCTCTTTTCCTGCAACCTCAAAATTTATATCCCACTCATCTTATTTATACCCAACATATAAGAGGTGTTTGTTTTTTTTCTCCCTCTTACATTCAGGATGCATTTGGCATCAGCTCGAGGCAGCTCATGCACAAAAATGCAAGATCCATTAGGCCAGGCAGAGAAGAGAGTCCAGGCTGCTTTCACCCAACCGGTGTCCGTCGTGTTCCACATGATGTCTGCTTCGGTCAAGGCCACCCACCGCCTGCCGAAAATTAGAGAAAGTCAGCACCCTCCACAATGACCCTACCTTTAAAAAGGGTTACATTATCAATGTCACCTTATTTGGAGCACTGCCCACCATGTTAAGTGGGTACTCACTTAACGCTTGTCAAATCTGTACAAGAGCCATCAAGTCAACCATTGTCTTAAAGCATTCCTCGGACATTTTCCATGTACCTATGCCCTAGGCTAAGGATACAGAATGGCAAAGACAGATGCCATGTTTGCAAGGAGTTCTCAGTCGAGTGGGGGTAACGTATAAGGAGGCAAAGAATCTCAATGCAGTGTGACGAGGGCACTTAATTTATTTAAAGAGCCAACATTTATTTAGCACTTAGTCTGGACTTAGCATGAAGGATATAGAAATGACCCATTAGTCTTGCTTTGAGGAGCTTATCATGGAATAAGTATAAACATCTGGGAAGCCTCTGGAGAGCATGTTTTAATAGAGTGAGCACAAAGCATCGTGCAGTTGCAGAGGACAGGCACCCCACCCGGAGCAAGGGTGGAGGAGGGGTCTGAGAAATGCTTCCGTGGAGGAGGTGACACTTGATTTAGACGTGAAGGACGCACAGGAATTGCATAGGTGAGACAGAGAAGGAAGAGCATCCTAGGAAGGGGAAATGGTGCCTGCAAACATTAGAAGACAGACAAGTGGTCCTGCTGCACTTGGACTTGAGGACACAGGCTTTCCTGGGCCTTCTCCTCCCCTCCGACTGCTCCTTCTCAGTCTGCACTGCTGAATCCTCCTGGGGCCCCCCTTAGACGCGGAAATGCCTCAGGTGCTCAGTCTGGAGACTCCTCTTTTCAATGTATACTACTCCTCGCTGATCTCATCCAATCTCACGGTATTAAATCCCATCTTTACACCGACAACTTCAGCACACATCTTTCTCATGAACTCCAGACATGTGTATCTACATGCCTACTCCAGAGAGCTCCACTTTTAACTAGGGGTATGGAGATGTCTAGTAGGCTTCTCAAATTCACAATTCCAAAAACGAACTCTTTGTTTTCTCCCACCTGACAGCTCATCTCAGTCTTTCCCCCATCACGCATGCTTCTGGTAGTCAGGCCCTACGACTTTATGCAACATCTCCCCCGACTCTTCTCCCTCTCTGTCGTTACACATCGAATCTGTCAGCAAACCCTATCAGGTCTAGGATCAAAACACACATTCAGAATCTCATCTCTTCTCTCTCTTCTGCTGCCCCAGGCAAGCCGCCACCCTTGCCTCTTAACACACCGGACTCCTCACTTCTCCTAAGCTTCATTCTTTGCACTCTATAGTTTAGTGTCAACCCAGCATTTGGAGTGAGCCTTTAAAAAAAACAAACCAGATCATGTCACTCCTCTGCTCAAAATATCCAACGTTTCTCAAGCACGTGAGACACAGAATTACCATGCTGGATCCAGCAATTTCACTTCTGAGTCTACATCCAAAAGAACTAAAAGCAGGGACTTGAGCATGTATCTGTTGCTATGAACCACCGTTCATATGGCAACATTGCTGACAACCGCCAAAATGTGGAGGCACCCTAGGTGTCTATTAGCAGGTCAATGGCTTTTAAAAAATGTGATGCATTCACACAAGGGGCTATTTTTTAGTCTTAAAGAGAAAGACAGTTCTGACACATGCTACAACACGGACGAACCTTGAGGACATTACGCTAAGTGTAAGAAGCCAAACTTCCAAACAAAAGGACAAACACCGTACGACACCACTTCCACGAGGTACCCGGAGTATCAAATCCATCGGGGTGGAAAGCAGAATAAAGTTTGCCAGGGGCTAGAGGAGAAGGTGATGGGGAGCTATTGTGTGATGGGCACGCAGTTTCTGCTTGGAAAGATAAAATAAGTCCCGGAGACGGATGGCTGCACAACAGTGTGAACGTATTTAGTGATGTTGGACAGCACACTTAAAAATGGTCAAAATGGTGCATTTTATGTTATTTATATTGTGTCACAATTAAAAAAAAAAACCTCTCCTGTGACTCACTCAGAGTAAAGCCCACACCTTCAAGGTCTTACCCGAGCGGCCCCTTATTGGTTCTTTGATGTCAAATCTGCTGCTCCTCCCCTCTCTCTGCCTCCTCCAGTGCCTTCACCCACTTCTTGTTTTTTGGACGCCCCCCCTGCCCGCCCCCCGACAAGCTGCCCCTGTACCTCCCACTGGCCACGAAACCCAGGCCGTAGCTGCACTGGGAGTGCTCGAGCATCTTGGGGGCCCCGGTGGTCCCGCTGGTGAAGTAGATGGCCAGGGGGTCTCGGCTCTTGGTCCTCACACAGGTGTGCTCTGCAGGTGCCTCTCTGTAAAATGCAAAGCCACCAGGTGGTACTGCCAGTCAGTGGCGCCACTGACACGTGTAACCACATTATGGCCTCCATCATTTCGTAACTGCCGCGTGTGAGGCGCCGTGCTGAGAGCGAGCTCCGGCTTACGTCATTGGCAGCCACCTCTTAGGGTGGGTGCTGTCATTGTAACCCTTCTGCACGTGAGGACAGTGAAGCTCAGAAGGGTTCAACGACTCATTCAAACGAGCCCTTGCTCTTTTACCAGCGCATGAGGTCTTGCTGGTGGAGCACACACGTCCGTGTTCATAACTCTGCATGCGCAGGCCCAGCGCTGCCCCACCCCAAGTCCTGGTAATCTAGAGCTGTTTTCCAAAGGTTGTGCCAAATTCTGGGGTTTGAGATCTGAGTAATTACCAAATTCCTATGATCTGGAGCTGACTCACTGCTTCTTAACCCTGGCTGAAGCTTGAGGTCCCCTGATAAGTTTTTTAGAAGAAATAGCATTGCTTGGGCCCCACCTGAACAAAACAAATTCAGAATTTTTTTTTTTTTTTTTTTTTTTTAACAAAAAGCTCCCCAGGTAATTCTAGTGACAGCCAAAGTTGAGAAACACTGATCCGGGCCAACCTGGCAACTCATCAAAATCACATGGGATGATTTTTTTAAAATGCAGATTCCCGGCCCCTTTGCACTGACATGTCTGGTCGAATAGGTCAGATGTGGGGCCTTGGAATCTGTATTAAAATGGCAACAGGTGAACCTGATGCAGCTAGCGTGGCAGGTGGGTATTTGTGACCCAACAATGCAGTCCCCTGAGAGGCTTCTTTTGGGTCCTGGCCTCTAATGAGGACAAAGTTTCAAATTCCCAGGTAGGTTTCCACCAGGGCCTTTCTCCAAGGAAAATGTGGCTTTGGCTTCATTCTAAGCCTGATCTGACTACTTTTTAGCATCTTGAGCAAACGACTTCAATTTCCTAAGTCTCAGTTTCCGCACCTGCAAAATTGGCTTTAAGTGCACAGCATAGAGTTTTTTTTTTTCCAAGGATTAAATAAGATGATGACTTATTCATAATGGTGTTCTGAGCACCCAACATGATGTCTGTCACAAAACAGAAGTTCATTACATCTCTGATGCATGAATGAATAGAGGTGGATAGTTACCTAGAACAGTGCCTAGTATACACTACGCACCCAATACATGGCAACTATTTTATTATTAGTTGACCACCTGCTATGTACTAAATGCATCATATAGGTTATCTCATGTATTCTGCTAATAGCTGTAATAACCACTGTCACCTTTATAGAGGCAACAGAAGCACAGAAAAGCTAGTGACAAATGCAGCACTGACGGGATGAATGACCTTGAACACTAAGGTGGTCACCGGGATTACACCAGGTTGGTCCAGCTGTCAAAGTGAGCTTCCCCTCTGATTCACTCTCCACGTGGAATCAGCACTGCACATCACCTCTCGTTGCTTAAAGGGGAAACGCTGGACTTCATTCCTGTGCTGTTCTTCTAGAGAGCCCCGACTCACCGGAGGAGTTCCCTGAAGTTCAACCAGCCTGGCCGACTGCTGTCCGACACCAGCAGCTTGGTCTGGAGGGAGGGGCAGTCGGCACTAATGGCGTCCACCCGCGGAGCTAGAGAGTCGCTGGTGATAATGGACTTGGCCCTGGACAACTGCAGCCGGTACTTGAGGTCCTTCTCCGTCAGCTGAGAGGTGCCGGGAATCATGACGGTTCCTGGCATCACACAGAGAGAAGATGTTGATGGAACAGCGGGGGAAGACCCCAGGGCAGAGGCCAGAGACCAGGGCAGGAAGGGACCGGAGAGAGTTGGAATGCCTGAGCTGAAAGGCAACAATAGTGATGAAATCCAGAAAAAGTTTAGGGAGCATTTACATGTGCTAAGAACTCTGCATGCATTATTTCATGTAATTCTCACAACTCTGAGAAAGCACATGCTATTATCACATCCACTTTGCAGACTTAAAATAACCCTGTGTTTGAGTCCTTTATACCTAAATACATTAAATAACTTACCCAAGGATCACACAGCTAGTATGTGGCAGAGCTGGAATTGTGAAGCTAGGCGGACGAAAACCTCTTGACCATGGTATTATGTTGCCTTGGGGATTACTTAGCTCAGTGCTTTTCCATGCCTTTCTAACAAAATGCCAGAGTGAATCCCACTCGTGTGGGTGTGGGCTGCTTGCAGGGATTGTTGGACAAAGGGGAAGTAAGCAAAACTTTGTACAGAGCTCATTTTCTTCCACCTCTCAAACGTCGTGGCTACTGCAAGGCTCTGGCAGGTTGTGTCGGCCCCAGCTGAGAACCCCGGCCCTGCACGCTGACCTGTCCGCATACAAGCCACGTTGACCAGCCACCACTCCGGGAGCCGTGGGAGCACCAGCAACATCCTGTCCCCAGGCTGCAGGCCGCATGCACGGCTCAGAACGTTGGCCGCCTTCCTGGACTGCTTCCCCAGCTCCTCGAAGCTCCACTTGACCTCCGCTCCCGTGCCGCTGACCCACCAGAATGCAGGATTCGGGGGCCGGTGCCCAGCCTAGACCGAGACACAGGCGGAAAAAAAAAAAAAATAGAAGACATGGTTGAGACGTTTGTTTGCTTGTTGTTGTTGTTGTTTTAATTTTTTTTTTAACAATAGTTAATACATTCACAGGGGTCAAAAAGCAAACAACATGGAAAGATATGCATTGAGAAATCTTGCTCTCATCCTTGTGCCTATCTGCCCCGTTCCCCACTTCACCTGCCTCAATGGGTAAGCAATTTTGTCAGTTTCTTGCATATCCTTCCAGAGTTCCTTTGGGCAAACATAAGTATTATGTTTATTGATATTAATATATTAATTTATTATTATAATTATTTATTTATATTAATATTTTTCCATATCACCTTTCTAATGCAAAAGGTAGCGAGCGTATGATTTCTGTTTTGTGTTCTCTCCTTTTTTTATTGAAATATAATTCACATACCATAAAAAAAAAAATCACCATTTTAAAGTGCACAATTCACTGGTTTTCAGTATATTCACAAGGTTGGGTAACCCTGGTTACTATCTAATTCCAGGACATTTTTATTACCTTAAAAAGAAACATTGTACAGATTAGCAGTCCCTCCCTATTCCCTCCTCCCCAGCCCCTGGCAACCTCTTATCCACATTCTTCTGTCTTCATGGATTTGTCTCTGCTGGACATGTCGTATGAACGGAATCATACACTATGTGGCCTTCTATGTCTGGTTTTTATCACTTAGCATAATTTCTCAAGGTTTATCTGTGTTGTAGCACATATCAGTACTACATTCTTTTTAATGGCTGAATAATATTCCACTATATGGATAGACCACATTTGGGTTATCCATTCATCAGTTAATGGACATTAGGGTTGGTTCCACTTTGGAGCTATTATGAATAATGTTGCTATGAACATTCGTGCACAAGTTTTTGTGTGAACACATGTTTTCTATTCTCTTGGATATACACCTAGGAGTGAAATTGCTGGATCATATTATAACTCTACCTTTAACTTTTGGGGGAACTTCCAAACTGTTTTCTGAAGTGCATTTTACATTCCTAACTGGGAATGTCTGTGGGTTCTAATTTCTCCACATTCGCGCTGACACTTGTTATCGTGCATCTTTTGTTTGTTTTTGTTCTTAGCCACACTACTTTGAAGTGTATCTCCTTGTGGCTAGAATTTTGCATGGCTAGCAGATGCCCTGTGGAGCATCTTTCCATGAGTCTATTGGCCATTTGTTTGTACTCTTCAGAGAAATGTCTACTCAAATAATTAGCCTGTGTTTTTAATTGGGTTATTTGTCTTTTTATTGTTGAGTTTGCATTCTTTATATATTGTAGATACTGGACCCATATCAAACAAATGATTTGGAAATATTTTCTCCCTTCCTAAGGGTTATCTTTTTGCTTTGGTATACAAATACAGTCCTGTTCATTTTCAGGAAGTCCAGTTCATCTATTTTTTTTTTTCTATTGTTGCATGTGCTTTAGAAATCACTGCCTAATACAAGGTCATGAAAATATACACCTGTGTTTTCATCTAAGGATTTTATAGTTTTTGTTCCTTCATGTAGGTCTTTGATCAATTTTGAGTTAATTTTTGTACGCAGTGTGAGGTAGGGGGCCAAATTCATTCTTTTGCATGTAAGTAGAATACCCAGTTGTGCCAGCACCATTAGTTGGAACAATAGTTCTCTTTCCCCATTGAATTGTCCTGGCACCCTTGTTGAAAATCAGTTGACCATAGATTTTTGAGTTTATTCCTAGACTCTGAATTCTATCCTGTTCACCCATGTCTATTCTTATGCCAGCACTACACTGTCTTGATTAGTGTAACTGTGTAGTAGGTGTTAAAATAGGTAAGTGTGAGTCCTCCAACTTTGTTTTTTAATTTTTAATTTTTATTTTTCAAGATTGTTTTGGCCACTGAGTCCCTTGGATTTCCATATGAATTTTTGGAGCATATTACCAATTTCTGTGAAGAAGTCTACTGGGATTTTGATAAAGATTGCAGTGATGTCACCTTAATAACATTAATTCTTCTAATCCATGAGCACGGATGTCTTTCTATTTATGTAGGTCTTTATATTTATGTAGATCTTTTAAAATTTCTTTCAATAATGTACTTTATAGTTCTGGAGAAAAAACATTCAAAATCAGTCTCTGGGCTAAAATAAAGGCAGAGTTGTGTTCCTTGTGGAATAAATCTCTAGGGGAGAATCTATTTTCTTGCATTTTTCAGTTTCTAGAGACAGCTCACATCCCGTTGATCATGACCCATATCACTCCAGCCTCTGTTTTCTTTGTTATCTCTCCTTCTCTGACTCTGACCTCCTGCTTTCTTCTTACAGGGGGCCATGGAATTCCATTAGGCCAACCCAAATAATACAGGATAATCTTTCTCTATCAATGCCTTTAATATAATTATATCTGCAAAGTCTCTTTTGCCATGTAAGATAACATATTCACAGGTTTCAGGGACCAAGGTGTGGGAATCTTGGGGAGAAGGTATTATTTTGCTAACCACAGCCATGCTTTCTTGTTTCATTGCACGTCTTATAATTTTTGCTGCAAACTACACATTTAAAATCACATAATGTGATAACTATGGAAATCAGATCCCCCCACAACCCCTACCTGAGTTTGTTATTGCTGCTTGTTGCAGTTTGTTTGTTTAGTGACTTTTCTGAACTAATTATGTAAAGTCTGTATTATGTGTTGTGTGTGCCGCTGAGGTATTTACTTGGTGAGCTTAGTGGTCAGCTATGATTACACAGAGATTTCTTTCAAAGTCTGGAATCAATGCATCTCCCAGTCTTTGTATGTGCTGGGGCACACCTTCAACACTCAGCCACGCAGTTGACAAATCCTCCCTAGCTTTAATTTTATGCTTGCTCAAAATCTCAAGGTCAGCCAGAGGTGAAAGCCTAGGGTTTTCTCAGGTCTTAAGTATGTGCAAAGCCTAAGCATGTGCAAAGCCATGGGAATGCACACAGCCTTAATTAAGTATGTTGCCTTCTGTATTTATAGTAATACATTGGAGCTTTTCAAAGCTCCTCTAGACATCTCATTCCACAACTTTTCTTTTTTAGCTTTTTGGTCAGTCTATTGTTAGCACCACCTTAGGCAACCACAAAGTTAAAACATTTGCCTATGATTGCTTTTGGCAAAGCCCCCAGGGAAAAAAAGACTTTTCTCATTGGTTGTGCTCTGAGTGGGCTCAAATATAGATAGTTTTTGCAAGTGGGGTCTTCTAAAGAACCATAAGACAAATCGAATAATGATATTTCTTCAGGAATAAAGCTTTGAAAAAGCTCCAGCTCTATTCTTCTCCTCTGAGAGCTGCCATGCTACACCAGGAACAAGGGCTGTTAATTTTCAAGTCTACCACATAGCTGGCAAGTAGGGCTTGGGACTAGGACAAGTTAAAATGCCACAAAGCTCACTGTTCTTACTGAGATTCATCCAATTTCCTTAACAAACATCATTGCAAACATCATTGCCAACATCACTGGTTAGTTTCCAGAGTTCTAAAAAAGTTGTTTCTCACAATTTTTCTGGAGTTGTTGCTTTTATGGAGCAGAGGATTTTTGAAAGTCCTTATTCTATCTTTTTTATGATCTAATCCTGTTTTTCTTTTAATCATTAGAAGAATTATTCCAAGGATGCCCCCTGGTGTGGCAAAAAGAGTTGAGATTTTGTGGACAGTCATGGACAGGAATGGAGCATTCTGGCTCCAGTGCTTACATAGACTTCTCATTTAATCCTCACAACTCTGAGTGGTATATGACATGACTCCCATTTCATGGATGAGCAAACTGAGATCTAGGGCATTTAGGGCACTCGTCCAAGGTCACATTTCAAGTACGTGGGTGAACCAAGTCCATCTGAATGCAAAGCCTGCTTTTATGTCTCAGTCATACTCGTACCACCGTTGTAAGTTTTACCGTATCCGCTGACGGTATAATTTTATCATAACTACTAATAATATCTTTTACTTCATAGTTTTTCTTTAAACAATCTCATCTTAAAAATAACATGAGTAAATTTCTTTGAAATAAACTTTTAGAGTCTCCTGCTATAACTGAAAAGTTAGCATCATGTAACACAAATAAAACATAACAGAGACACAACAGATGCACATAGAAGGGGGAAAGGGGGAAGAAAGCATATGTGCAGAGACACATAGAGAAATCAAGATATTCAAATTTATACATCTGCTACCATCTGTGCAAAGCTTTGCGCCCGAGCCCCGTGCTCTCCTTATTTAGAACCAAGTGCCCGAGAGGTCGGAGAGAGGTTAAAGACAGAGCAGCACGGAGCAAAACTTCCTCCTTCACTTGGTCAGAGCAATTGGAAAGGAATCAAAAAGGGATATAACCGTTTCAAGAGTGATTTGGGCTCAGGAACACGAGATACCTCAGGGATTGGGCAAGCGTGTCTAAGGCTCACGACACTTGGTCATAATTTTGCTTTACCCAAGGCTTACGTGCTAACAGCTGAAACTTGAGGACTAGCTAAATTCCCAGGCCCACGTTCCCGCATGCACGTGTCTTGTAGCCTTGATTCTCACAGGGGAACCCGAGGACAACCCCAGATGCCCAGGAAAGCGTCTGCCACACAGCGGGCTTCACCTTTTCCAGCTGACTCCACACGTCCAGCACGTCATGGGCGAAGTTGAAGTACTCGGGCACGGGCTGCTTCCCCAGGCTGATGGCCTCCCAGGTGGCCACAATGTCCTGAGGGACAGGTGGAGGTGCCGGCTGCCCGGGAGACCTGCTGAATCCCCGGGAGCTCTTCAGTGCATGAAGGACCAGGCCTCTCAGCCACAGCCTCATGTTTGCACCGCCTGTCTGTCATCACAGAGAGGAAAGAAAGTCAAGGTTAGGAGAAGCCTGCGCTCGGCGCTGGTGATGACCAGGATACGCACTGACTTGCGGAGTGGGCTCCCGGCCTCCCGTCTCGCTCCTGCGGGGTGCGGTTGCTCATTTCTCCTCTCTGACCTTAGGCCCCTCCCTTCCACCCCCCACTGCCTGTTGGTCCCCGTGGGCCTGGGGCTGGTCACTCGGAGCCCACTTCTCGAGGCTCAGCCTTTCCAAAGGAATCCTCCAATAAGCCTTTGGCCAGTCCTGAACTGGCCTCACGAAGGCGAAGACAGTTCTAGGACAGTGCTGTCCAGTAGAAACGGAATGTGAGCTGCCCGTGCAGTGGACAATACCCTACCATTTCTATTGAGAAAAATAGAAACAGGTGAAATGGATTAGAATAATACATTTTATTTAGCTAGATGAAAGGTGGTCTTACTAGGTCTTAACTAGATAGGTCTTAATAACCTGTCTAACAGAGGAAAATAAGCTGTCAAACAGAAAATAAGAGGAATAAAACTCACAACACAACTACCTTTTGTCTAATTACACGTGTGGCCTAACTTGTTATCTCTAAGACTTCGTTTTTCTCAGCCTTCAGAAGCCCTCGGTGGATGGCAGGGGTACGAGAGTTCTCTACACCAGCTCTCTGCCTCAACTCTTGCTGGACAGATTTCAAGGATTCAGATAAGCTGGCTTCACAGAGAAATGGGGGAAAAATTAGAAAGAGCAGACAATGCCACCCCGCAGCTGTTCTTGTTATCAGTCTGGTGTGTGTGTGTGTGTGTGTGTGTGTGTGTGTGTGTGTGTATGTTTTAAAACTGGTTAAGTCCAAAGTTTGCTTCTTCAGGGAAAGTCCTGGAAAGGACTGACAAGTTCTCTTGAATACAGGTTCCTGATAACTTTGGAGAAATTATATACCATTGGACTAAAACCAAACAAACTTCCAGGATTTTAATTAGAAAGCTATTATGTCCTTGAGTATCGCTCACTCAACCTGAAACAGAACAGAAATTCATACATGGGACTGAACTAAATTTTTTATGACTTTTGATTTATAACATTACTGACTCTCTTGTTTTGTTTTCCAGAGTCATGACAAGTTTTAGGGGAATAGCAAGTTTACTTGCTATCTACAGGATTTAAAGCTATTGAACAACACCGGGCCCAATCTGCTATTCACTGCCAATGCCCTGTTACTAAGACTGAAAACATCCTCCCTCTAGGCCCAGGGACTATGGTGGAAGACAGGGTGTGTGAAATTGCAAGGGCCAATTCCGAGGGACGGAATTAGTTTAGACCCTCCAGATCAAGGAGGGGCACACAGAACAACACTTCAGGGGGGATTCTGCCTTTCCAGGCCACGAGGTGCAGATATTCATTCCAATCATAAAAAATTTCCCTGCTTCCCATAGACTTAGAACTTCCTGAGTATAATTGTTCTCAGTTATCGGGTTTATGCAAAGGAGACCTAACAAGAAATTTAACAGCCGCCTGAGGACAGATTACTAAACAGACTAAAATATTATGACACAACCACAGTCTCTAAATTCCTTAGCTGAAATAGTTAACAACGCTTATGTTTGCTACAAGTCTGCGACTAAACCCAAGAATATAGTAACTCAACATTTACAGACTAACTCACCAGTTTGTAGAAGAAAACTGGACACAAATTTCTTCTGATAAAACTGGAACTTGTTCATATGGCAAATCTTTAATTGCCCTGATAGGTAACCTAATTACACCCGGGGATCAAAGTTCTGGGTAAAGCAGTTTCAATGGCAATTTAATTTTTAGAAATCTCTTTTAACCTTTCTCTCTTCAGTTTAAAATGAGTTTTTTTTTTTTTAATGTTTACATTTTAGATAGAACTGGCTATGAGATCTCCAGCTAGCCTTTCAAATGGAGATACCATAAAAAATGAGTTTATCTCAACACAAACAGAAAACGTTAGCAGGTTTTAGAGTAGCCAGAAAAGAAAAGAGGTAGCTTGAGCAAAGCAACATTTTAACTCCATAGTGACAGGTTGACCATTTGAGTTCTGAATTTTCCTTGATGTAATTTGCTCTTTAGTAAAAATTTGTGCACAAGAATCGGATAAAACCAGCTGGAGCCCTAGAAAACCTGGCATGGCTTTGAACCTTTCCATTTATAAAAATACTTGCAAGTAGAGGCGCCATCAACCAACTGGGGTGCCCAAAGGGAGTTTTTCTCCTTATCTTTCCTCATTTTTAAAGGATTTGTTTCCCCATTTTTCTTTAAAAGAAGCAACAAAATTGTAGTTTAGGGTTTAGTATAGTGGATCAGAGTGTGCTGATTGTGGGTGGGGGCTCCTCAATGTTTCACTACTGAGTCGGTCCCACCCTCTTACGTATACCGGTTTCTCTTTTTGAGCATCTAGTACCTCTGAGAGGGCTCAAAACACTGAGTGATCAGTTCTTACAAGTGTTTCCTGGATGCGCCTTCTTTTATTTAATTTTGTTGCGAGGTTCCCTGTACAGCCACTCCCACCATGGGGAATTGCCCCAGGCAACTGCCACTCAGCCAGGTCCCTGGTCACCCAAGGGTGCCTTTTGGCTGGGAGGAGTAAAATGCCCTTTCTCTTCAGCACTGAGGAACTCAGTCTCTCATTTATCTACAAACAAGACAGTTTGGTTTCCTCTTTTGCAAATGCGCAGTAAAGCCACTTGAGATTAATTTTGGAGGAACAGACAATGGAAAAGACCCTTTAGAATGCACCTCCAAATCAAAATCAGGATCCCAAACAACAAATTCCTAGGAAAAGAACAAACTGAGAGTAAACCGAGACCAGCAACCAAAGGGAGGTCCGGAGCTTGGGAGGACTTGTAGCTCCACCCAAGGAGGAGCTCGGAGTCTGGGGGGGCTCTAAAGGGGTCATGTGTTACCAGGCGCCAAGTTCAAGCTACCCCTTCAGGGGTCCTGAGACTCCTCTGAGCCCCACGTCTGGGCATGTCTTGTCAATGGGAAAGAAACCAAACTCTGTAAAATGATTTTAAGAGATTTATTCTGAGCTGGATTTGAGGGCCATGATCTGGAGCCATGCCCACGAGGCCTTGAGCAAGTGGACTCTCTGTGGCTGGGTTACAGTTTGCTTTTATAAATTTCAGGGAGACAGGAATTACAGGCAAAGTCATAAATCAATACCTGGAAGGCATACATTGGTTTGCCCTGAAAAGGTGGAATATCTCAAAGCTGGGGCTTACAGTTATCGGTGGGTTTAGAGACTCTTTGACTTGTAACTGGCTAAAGAAAGGAAGCTTTGTCTAAAGGCTTGGAATGCTTTAAGTTAAGATACAGAAGTCTGTTAATCAGAGACAAGCCACTGGCCATATATTTGTTGTGTAAACTGAGGACCTGCAGGTGTGTCCTGCGCAGCCTCAGGCCTGTCAATGCGCTACACAGGATGTCTCCAAGAAGGGAGAAGGACATGATGAGGCATGTCTGACCTCCCTCCTCATGGCTGGCAACTCAGTTTTAGGGTATCCCCTTGATCAAGAGTGGGTCCATTCAGTCAGCGGTGGGGAGAGCCTTAAGATTTTATGTTGGTTGACAAATGTGTCACAACAACAAGAAACACAATAACAGCTGCCGTCTATTGAAGGCCTACTGTGTACCAGGCATTTCGAACGTGCTTTATAAGCAGTATTTCATTAAATCCTTATCATAATTCTGTGCTGTAAATGTTATTTTCTCCTCCATTTATGGATACAGTGAGGCTTGGACAGAAAAGCCTAGGACTCAGCCTCTGCCATGGCCACCAAGCCTGGGCCTGCGGCCTCAGGGACTCCCTCTCCCTGACACCCCTCAACTCTCCTGAACTCTGCCCCAAGCCTTTTCCTCCTGTCTCCTACCCTTGGATTCCCCAGACCCCCTGGCAGCTGATAACTGGAGTCCCCCAGGCCATTTCAGGCCATGGCCCTTGTTGGCTTAATCAGCAGAAGCCTGGGGGGGTGGGGGGGAAGCTGACACCTTTGGCTACAGGGTTTCTTTCCACATTACCTTGTTCTTGAAGCCAGGTTAGGGGAGAGGGCTCTGTGCTCTGCTTCAGCGGAAAGGCACGCCCGGAAGGAGGCCTGAGAGCACTCCTTTTCCTTGGGGTGTTCGGGAAGGCAGGCTGCTGACTCAGCCTCCCACAGGGAACTTTCGCTCCACATGCAGCCAAGAGGGTGTGGAGCCAGAAGCCGGCAGTGGACACGGTGGCTTCCATTGGTCGGCGCATGTGTGGCCAGTGAGAGTGGCCCCCTGCCAAGTGTTCCTCACGGCTCACCACTCACAGTGGGGAGCAGATCAACTCCCTCTCTAGTGCCTGCTGGGTGTGACGCTGGTGGTGCGTCCTCTGACAATTCGGGTCACTCCTAATCTGAAAAGAGAATAGGAACTTTGTGTTTTCACAGAGAGGATACAACAGTGAAAATAGCATAAATCAGACTGAGGCAGGGAGCTGGCAGGTGCCCCATGTCCAGCTTTGGGCAGCTGCTGCGGGCATTGCTGCACCCTTACATAACTGAGTCGGGAAGTTTCAAAACAAAGTTTCAAATTGCCCCAATCAAAACAGGATGGAGGCAGGGAGAGTTCCAAAGGGCTAGAACCAAGACGGTAGAGGAACAGAGGGTGTCGCCCTGTTCCAGGAAAACACCTCCCCTTTCATGAATATTCCTCCCCTTGTTTAGCCTATAATTAAGCTGTTGCTTGAATAGAAAGGCAAGGGGAACCAGAGGGCAGGTTTTCTTCTGCAGGGAGAACCTGCCCGTGCTCTGTCTGCGCAGTAGACTTTCTGTAGTTTGTGAATAAATCTCCCTTTCGCTTTATTCTGTTGGCTCGCTCCTGAGTTCTTTCTTGTGTGAAGCCAAGGAAAGTGGCTCCCGGCAGTGGGAGTCACTTTCTCGCATGAAGACCATGTTCCTTTTCTGCTCCAGTAGGCACAGAGAGCAGAGGAGTGATTGCCCAGGGCCAGGTCTATAACCGGGAGTGACTGTAAGGGAACAGGGAACTCTTGGAGGTGATGAAATTGCTCTAAGTTTGGATAACGGTCATGGCTACATAACTCTGTAAATTAACCACACACACAAAAAAAGTTAAAGTAACAGTAATTGTACACTGCCCCAAGCTGTTAAAAAAACAAAACAAAAAAAAAAAGCAGCCTCCTGCAGCTCTTTCTCTCCCTCACAGTCAAAGCCAAAGTGCTAACAAGAATCTGCAAGGTCCCCAGGATCCCCTGAGATCTTTCTCCTCTCCCCTCCTGGCTCACTCTGCTTTCCTTGTTTGAGCTCTGAAGCTCTGGTTCTCAGTTGGCTGCTGGTAAACTGTTCCTCTGAGCACAAGATCGAAAAGTGTCCTGACCTGGAGTGTTTGCCGGCGTCTGAAGGGTGCCTATTCCCATCAGAGCGACTTCAAGCTACCCAAGTTGTCCCCTGCTGTCAAAATTCCTGCACGTTACCAATCGCCTCTGAGTGCCCTGCCAGCGAGCTCGGGCACGGGCACGGCTCTGCATCCTGCCTCATGCTCCACCGTTCCTTCCCTGTGGTTTGCTCCCTGCCCACCAACAGTTCGATAAATATTTCTCCAGCTCGTGAATAGTCAATAACTGACATGCAGCAAACGTTTTTTTTATCTGCCAGATTTTATTGTGCCGAGACTTTCTGTGTGTTACAGGTATAAATGGATTCGGGATACTCTTGGTACAAAGTGTGTGTGTGTGTGTTGTTTGTTATTTTTGGTCCAGAATCAAACCAAACCTGTTTCCGGGCCACAAGGACCTGTGAGAACCTCCAGTTTATTTGATATCCAGATCATCTTTATGATCCCTAGAATTGGACCTAAGTCTCTCTGGTGGAGGAGGGTTTATGGGACACCCGTAGAGAGGATGCTTAGGCGCCAGCTGCCTGTCTTTGCAGAGGTTCAACACCACACGGGATGTTTATCCCTCACTGTATTTTGTTCCCCTGTGGCTCCGTCTCATTTCCTGGCCAGGCCAGCGTGGCCCATTTCCACGTGGGCAGCTCCTAAGCCTCCCCGCCAAGCTTAGCCACGCAGAATCCTCTTCCTTGCCCTCATGGTCCACTCGGTCAGTACCCAGTCCTCAACTGGGTCCCAGGCAACATCCTCACCTCTGGATCTCCAGCCAGATCTAAAGATGCAATCTATGCTCTCCCAGAGGTGGATGGACCGATTTACCTGTTCTCTGAGCAACCTGTTCTCAATGTCGCAACTCTCCATCAGTATTTGCTGAGAGTTGGGCTGCAGACAGCCGAGGGCTCCAAACTCTGACCATAGTAATGATGATGTGAATAGTACCAAGAGCCTTTCCTTTATTCATTCAACAAACACGTGTTGAGCACTTATTTCCTCCTAGGCAGAGTACGTTATATGGAATTCAGAAGGCTATCAATGCTGTGAAGAAGACATAAAGGCGGGAGGCGCATGGGCGATGCCCGAGAAGAGCACGGGGCAGTTACAAGTTGAAACGAGGTGGCCGGGGAAGGCCCAACTAGGAAAGCGACATTGGGGCAAAGAGTTGAAGGACCTAAGAGAGTGAACCTTGAGCGTCCTCAGGTCAAGAGCTTCCCCCGGCAGAGGAAGCTGCAGGTGCAGAGGCCCCGACACGGGCAGGACAGGGAAAGGACACGAAGAGACGGGCCCGAGCGGTGCCGGGCGAGGGGCACAGTCTTCCAGGCACCGCACCGCTCATTTTCACAGACCGTCTTGTTTAACCCTTACAACACCCCTGAGCTACATGTCAGTTTACAAGGCAGGAAACTGAGCTTCAGAAAGAGCGAGTGACACACTCAAGGCCGCACAGCCATTTGGGACAGGGCTGGGATTGAAACTCCAGTCTACAGGCACCGGATCCGGGGCCCTCCTGAGCCACACCCAGCTCCCCACCTAAGTTTTGTTTCTGGCCCTCCCCGAAAACTCCAGCCCCTGCCGTCCTCGGGCAAGCTCCTCTCGGCAAGGGCTGCCGGGCAGGGCCCCCTCTTACCCAACAATGGCCCATTCTTCTCCAGCGTCACCTCTGCTCCTCCAGAACCCCAGAACTCAGAACATTGCTGCGGGGGCTGCCGTGCACTCCGTGGGCCCAGGAAGGGACTTCCTTTCCGCCCCTGGATTTCTCTGGAAGAGAGCCCAGCTGCCCGGGAGTCCTCTCTGGTCACAAGGGCAGCCACGAGCCTGCTCTTCCCTCCTTGAGAGCCACAGAATTCGGGGCCCCGCCTCGCTCGGCCGGCCGGGTGCCTGAGAGTGGCCCGGCCTCCCGCAGGTATGAGCTTTAGTGAAAAGGGCGAATCTGACGGGCGGCCCTGCGCTCCGGCCTTCCCTCTGCCACCGTCGCAGACTTAAGAGTGGGTTTTGGTGTAGACAGCTGCTCCTTACGGTCAGCTAGGAAGACGCGAAAAAAAATGATACCCAGACGCACCTCTTCTCGGACTGATTACATTAGAACCCACTGGGTTTGGGCTTGGACATCAGTAGTTTTTCAAAACCTCCCCAAAAGATTCTAATGCGGAGTCAGGGTTGAGAACCACTGAAAGGGACCGCGGGTTTATTATGAGAGTTCAAGTAGGCCGTTCGTCCGAGCATTCATTGAGCTCCAAACCCGGTCCGGGCCCTGTTCTAGGAGGTGGGAAAACATGTGGACAATGGCGTCCACATCCAAAAGCCGTAGAAATAAACAAAACAAGGCACACTCAGAAGGAATGATACAAAATACGAAGCAAATGCTGGTGCTATGGCAGGGTGCTGGGAGCAGGGGTGAGGCGAGTGGCCCCGGAAGTCCCTTGTAAAGAGGTGGGGTTTGAGCTGGGACCGGAAGGATCTCAGGCTGCGATGTGGGGAAGGGTGTGCCAGGCAGGGGCAAAGGCTGGGACGGGGTGTGCTTGGGGACAGGGAAGGAGCCGGCAAGGCTGGCCCACAGGGGAGGGTGCAGATGGGAGCAGGGTCAGATGGAGATACCGAGGACAGGTGGGGTCTGAGTCAGAGTGGGTGGGGCCTGGCTCTGGCCACAGGGAACAGTTTGGCTGGTGTGTGACAGCAAGCCACAGGAGCCTTTGCCTAAGAGGAACAATGGGACCGAGTTCCTGCTTCGAGATGACATCTCTGATTGCTGCGCGGAGGGTGCATGGGAGGGAAAAGCCGCAGGGCCAGCGGGGAGGTTACTGCAGCGTCGGGGAGAGCCAGCGGGGCGGGGACAGGGCTCTCTCTGGGTGGAGTGCTGGCACAGGGGCAGCAGTTAGGCTCAGCATGGATGTTGGCCATGATCAATCAGTTTCCCACAACCTGTCACGCTCCCTGCCCTGAGCTGGGGTTTGGGTGTTGATGTTGGAACTGAACTTGGAATTTGTAAGGCTGGGCAGAGTCTGCCCGGGGGTGGAGGACCCACAGAGGGGCCACAGCGGGGCCGGGCTGGAGGAGCAGGTACTGGGAGAACCTGCACCGAGGTCACTGGCCCAGACAGCAAAGGGGCAAGGGCAGGGTGGCGGAGGGCACAGGGCCAGGGCCGGACCGGAGGCGGGGTCCAGAGTCCGAGGGGAGCCCAGGGACAGTGCCTTGGAGTCCTGGACACCAAGGAGCTTTGGAAAGGACCTTCAATGGTGACACGCAGGAAGACTCTCGGTGGCCCTCACTGCCTTATGTGTGCGCACAACGAAGAAGGGGTCGTTCTAGCGATTTTCTGTAGAATAAAAACTAACCCTCTAGCACTTTGATGCCTCCGAGTAGAAAAAGAACTTTTAGATGATTATTGTTTTTGCAAGTAAATGAACCAATGAACAAAATATGCAAACGAGTAAGTTAGTTCTAAAATCAAAAGTTCCATCTAATAGTACCAGACTCATCCGGGGCTGGCGAATGTCATGCTACCTGGCAGGTCCCCGGGACACCGTGGGAGCTTAGGGACCCTTAAGGCTGGGCTGGCAGTAACGCGCCCTTTGGCCGAGACACGGACTCGAATCAGGTGCATCACTCAGCTTTCCAGAGAACCAGGCCGTCCACCTGCCCTGCGTGCTCGTCTAAGCTTGCCTTTGTCGGTTTAATTTGGCCATGCGGTTCTCAAGCGAGAAACCGAGTGACGGAATTACCTAAGAGAGGCTCGGAAGACACAACCACCGATCACGATACCCGAGTCTCACTTGGATCTCAGTTTAAACAAACTTAAAATCTATGAGGCAGTCTGGGTCATTTGCACACTGTCTGGACACTGGATGGCATGAAGACGTTATCGTTCATTTCATTAAGTATGATAATGGTACTGTGTGGGGTGTGTGTTCTTTTTAAAAATCTTG